AACAGTTCCTTCCACTGCAGTTGCCAGTGCTACCACCCCACACCTAGATAAGTGAACCCCATCCCTGGCATATGTCATTTCTGCCATAGAAAAGGTCCTAGTTGTCAATGAATGTTACCGCTTTTTCCTTACAGTATTTGTCCAGCCAGCAATTGACACCAATTGCCCTGGACAAGCATTCATTTCCAACTCCTCTCCTCGGCAAAATACCACATATGACAGGGTTCCCTCCCTTCCTCCTAATTATTTCTATTGCTGACCTATACCTGCTAATCAGGTCTTCACTCCTACGTCTGCCAACATCGTTGCCTCCAGCACTGAGACAGATAATAGGATTGCTGCCGTTACCTCTCGTGATGTCATCCAGATGGCTAACAATATCCTCCTTCCCAGCCCCAGGAAAGCAAACCCTCTGTCTCCTACTCCTGTCCTTCAAGCAGAGGGCCCTATCCATATACCTAACTTGGCTATCCCCAACAACAACAATATTCTTACCTTCCTTGTTGTCGTTCGTCGTGACGTTCCCAGTAGTCGACTCACATTCGTCGGGTAGCACTGAGAATGTATTAGATGTTTCCACAACTGTTTCCACGGCAGTCTCTTTCTTCTTCATCGTTTCTACCTTTCCATTCGTCTTCTTGATCGTCAACTTCGTTCCCTGCTGTCCAATGAAAAGTAGGGGCGCCATTGGTACACTAAGAGAAAATCACCATAAGTGCCCAGGGCTCTAGACTGTTCAACATTCTCCCACCAAGTATATGGGGAATTACCAATAGGCCCCTGGCTGCCTTCAAAAGGAAACTGGACAGATACTTAAAGTCGGTGACGGATCAGCCGGACTGTGGTTTGTACGTTGGACTATGTGCGGTACACAGTAACAGCCTGATTAATTAGATTCTGGTTCCAGCGGGAAGCCTGGTCGTGGACTGGTCCGCGGGGGCGTTGATCCCGGAATACCCTCCAGGTAGACTCCAAGTATTCACGTGATTGTTGAGTATGGACTCAATACCAGATAACTTAATGTTAGTACATCTGAGTACAAACCAATAGTTTGTGAAAGACATCTTCACATATGTCATTCCTAAAACCTTACTAAGAAAGATTTATTTAAGAATTTTAAGTCAAGACCAAAAGAATTAAACGAAGTATATACCGTAGAGGAGAATAAAAAGTTATTCATTTTTAATGTAAACTTAAGAAACATAGGTGCCATTTGGTTCAGTTGGTAGCGCACTCATGTGAAATACTGAAGGCCAGCAGTTCGATCCCTGGCATGGGTGGAATAGTTAGCCGTATCCGTTCACCTGCTACTTGTTCACTTGTCACTAAGTAGGTACCTGGGTGTCTGTCACCTCACAACTGCTACCACTGTTCAGTTATCAGTAAGAAGGTACCTGGGTGATAGTTGACTGTTGTGGGAAGCATCCCACAGTAGGTTCCGAACGCAGGTTCACATCCAACTGGCCTGCAATGTTTCTTTGTATATACAGTAGAACCAATGACAGGACCCCCCCCCCCCCCCCAAAAAAAAAAAAAAAAAAAAAACTGCTATTTTTTACAATATTCCGAGAGTTTCTGTTCGTCTTCAAGTCCACATAAGAGTAAAATAGAATTACAAAATTGTAGAACTGAAGAATTTTTAAAGAACAATTAAAAGGTTTTATAAGTCTAAACTGTAAAAAAAATCCCTATATATAAAATAAAAAGTTCATAGAGAGCTGCCATTATCACCTCCAGGAAACATTATTTGTTTACCAATATTCAGTGCTAAGAGTGTTATAATAAATTGTAATTCTTGTTTGAAACTGGTTTAATTTGAATGTACCAGATAAGTTCTTGTAAAAAGAGTCATTAAATTACTTTTAAACTGAATTATATTAGAGGAAAAATTGGCCTAGATAGTGGTCCTGGGTATACGTGTACTCGTAGCTCCTCCCGATGTCTGGAGTAGGTTGCCCGGGGGCGCCATGATGGCTCAATGTTTGAGATAACACGTCAACATTCAACACTTACTAGATAGCAGACGACGGTCACTATCACGACAGTCACTATCACGACAGTCTGCTGAAATGTATGATGCGGTGGATGATAAGTGTAAAGATGTCCTGGTGGAGGTCAAGAAATATTTTAGTGTTTACATGGTGGATGTATCAAAACAATACTAGTAGGTAAAAGTCTGCAGTGTTCCTTTTGAGGCTGATGAAAGTGAGCTCCGCCAAGTTTACTTTCGTTATAGGACAATACATGTATCACAACCAGGTACATGTGTTACTGGTATGTATCCTGGATTGCTTCATGTACATCCTTCTAGTTAATTTAAATTTATTAAAAAGTAACATGAAAATATATATATATTATTATATTATATATAATTATATTTATAAATAAGAATAAACAAATTAAAAAATATATATATATAAGAAAGTGTCAATAAATCATTATGAAGGACATGGGATGTTATGCAACACTTTCTCCAAATATCATTAGAGTATCTTTTACAGTCCGATATCATTTAGACACAGATGTTGTTATATTCAAGGAGAGTGGCGCACTTGTAAATCTGTGAGGCATATGATCTTATAGATGTGGAATGTCCTCTCCAGAAAGTGGAGTTGAGTGTATCCAGGTAGTCACCATTAGAGGAGATTAATTGATAATTCATGTTAAATGCTAAACCTATAATGGTCATTCAGTGCAAAACGTGGTGGAGGCTTGATCCTCTGTCTGCTGAGAACGAGACACATGCCCTTCCTATTGGTACTCCACTATATTGCCAGGCAATATAGCCGGGAGCATACACTCACGTCTCCCTTGTCAAAGTCCATTGGTTCAGATGAGAGAGCTTCAAAGCCATGGAGAATGCATCTAGCCCATGAGGAATGGAGGATCGGGGAACACGGAGATTGTGAGGCAGAGTAAAGTATTGGTAGATGTGTGGGGCGCCCCTGCTTAAGAGGAGGCTGTGGTGCACTTCCCTGTGTTAACATGTGTGTCTTACCATGCAGATTTAGACTGCAATTATATTGGGTCTATATCAAAAGTAGATAAAATGTTCATATGATTCTTACACGTGTATAGCTGATACTCTACTCCTGCAAGAGAAAGGGCAATATAATATATTCATGTGTTCCTTCTGTTTCTAAGATTAGTTAAATATATATGGTAATATGCCTCTAGACTGATGACATAGCCGATGGCTTTATACTCAATAACTAACACCTTGGAGTCAAGGAATCCATATTCTTTGATTAAACTAAGATGTCAGAGCTGGAACCTATACCTATAGACATTATGCAGCAGAAAAATCGAGAATATGTAAATCTTCTGGAGCTCCTAGAGCCCCAGAACTGCAACTGCAATGAATGAATTCGAACAGTGATGATGTAGCAAGTGATCGAGTATTGCTGGCAAGACCATGCCTCACTGAAACATAGGAATATTTGTGGTCATTCTTGAAGCTAAATTCGTGCAATGACATTCTCCATGGAGAATTGAGGGAGAGATTCAATATCGAGAAATGGGAAGAGCCAATTCCATAGGATGAAATGACTACTTGCTTGATTATATTTACATTGAGCTTAGAAGAGTCAGAGAGAACACCGAATATATGCACACGTGGAAGTTAAATAATCTCATAGAACAGAGTGATTGACCAGCCGGCATCACTAGGATTAAACTTCGCACCAACAATTAAGGATGTCATTTATGTAAACCAAGCAAAATCATTCTGCATGTTGGAAAAACATTGTGACCTGACGCCTGATACATTTAATATCCGTAAAGGGACGGTAGATACGACTTTACTCTGTCCCGTGTTTCCCAACTGTCCATTAACATTCACAAAGAGGTCAGTAACGATCAAATCTTGCATCTCCCGAGAAGGGATAAATCTGATTTCGTCCTATCATAAGTTCAGTTGGTTCGGCAGCATGTAAGTTATCTAAATGGTTGATTTAACTTTTAAATCCCATGTTGGATCTCGGATACGTATATGAAAGATTCCAGAAATTAAATATTTCTCACGCTTTACTCCTGTGAGTTTTGATGTCAGAAAGTCCCTGTCCCTGACTTACTTACGTACCTGGAAAAGGAACTAGAAAATTTTTTCTTGCTCTACCCCACGAATAAAGTCAATGGTCCAAGTCGGACCGAAACGTTGTCGTAAGCTCCTCTCTTCTATGTGCGGGTTATTTGTATATAGTGAAAAAATGATGCAATTGAATAATTTATTTATTATGTAGCGACAGTATTATGTCACCGAATATTATATATTTACTACCAATAAATTTGGCTGTCCCTTCAAGGAAATAACGTTTAATTTAAGACTACATTTAAAACTGCATATAATTGTTTTCCTTTAAGAGATGCAGTGGTCAGCCTTTAGATATATCTTTGAATTGTTCTTGTATCTTTATTTTGTATTCCATGTGTGATATTTTAGCATTTTCTGCGTAAAGCAAGACGGACAGTGCCTGTTATTTTTTCTATTTAAGTAAGGAGAATGGTTCTAATTGCTAATTTTCGTTCTTTAATCTTAAACATTGTAACTTGCTGTTAAAATATGTTGGCTTATTAATGCCTAGACACGAAAAACACAGATTATGTTTAACTCATGATGATATTGCTAAAATGTTTATATTCGTTACTTATTGGAAATATTACTCATTATTTTATGGAGATAATATAATGAAACGAAAAGCTTTATATACTTCGAGTTATAGTAAACAAAGTTTGAGAATAATATTTGTGAAGAGCTCGTAATGTAAAGTATATTACAACAGTCATGTTAGCATCTGTGTTCAAGATTACGAGAGTTGCCAGGGAGCTGTGCTGTGTTGTTGGGCCTCTACCACCTCAGTACACCTTCCTGCACTGTGTGGGACAGTAAGTTGTTGAGCTTCACAACACCACACAACCTGAGTGTCTTCCTTCACTGTGTGGGACAGTAAGTTGTTGTGCTTCACAACACCACACAACCTGAGTGTCTTCCTGCACTGTGT